AAAAAATGATCTTTAATTCCACATTACTTGAATCTTAAATAAGCTTTAAAAGGCTATTATTTAAATCATAGCAAATAGGTGAGATGTAGAGCACTGTTCCACCGAACTAAATTTGTATTTTAATTATTCTATTTGGTGACATCAAAAATTATTATTATTTTGAGACAGGGTCTCACTGTGCAGTTCAGGCTGGCCTTGAATTCACTATGCAATCCAGGCTGGCCTCCAACATGCAGCAATCCTCTTGCCTCAGCTTCCTGAGTGCTGGGATTATAGGTGTGTGCCAACACGCCTGGCTCCAGGAATTATTCCTGAGTTCCTGTGTGGTGTGTGTGTTGTGTGCATGCATGTGTGCATGTGTGCAATATAATTTATTTTAAAAAGAAAAGTACTAGCCGGGCATGGTGGCGCATGCCTGCAATCCCAGCATTCGGGAGGCTGAGGCAGGAGGATTGCTGCAAGTTCGAGGTCAGCCTGGGCTACAAAGTGAGCTCAAGGCCTGCCTGAACGTCATACTGAGACCCTGTCTCAAAAAAAAAAGTACTGAAGTGTTTATGGATAAAATGATTAACAACTGTAACTGACTTAGGCATACATTTAAACTTATTCCATTTTTTCTGCATCTATGTTTAAAAATAGCCAATAATAAAACTTATAGAATCATGTCTCTTATCCACGTTATTTATAAAATTGTATCAGTGTAGTTTTTGGAAAAATTCTGAATGATGTAGCTATGTCCACTTATACTTCATGTCGTTCACTTATAAAATGATTACATAATCCAAGTGAAAACTATGAAAATGTAAGACAGTGAGCTAATTTTCTGTTCTATGTAAGAATATACATGCATAAAAAATGGTAACCCTAGCCGGGCGTGGTGGTGCATGCCTGTAATCCCAGCGCTTGGGAGGCTGAGGCAGGAGAATTGTTGTGAGTTTGAGACCAGCCTGGGCTACAAAGTGAGCTCAAGCCCAACCTGAACTGCATAGTGAAACCCTATCTCAAAAAGACCAAAAAAAAAAAAGGTAACCCTTTCAGGCAGGAAACATTAAATTTGGGCTCTGCTATAATTTACAAAATAATTCTTCAGTGATAGTTTGGTCAGTGAACAAGACAGTCTGCTACAGAAACATACTCTCTGGGTCCAAATCCTCACATTTACTAGACATTTGCTGTGAAATTACAGGTAATTATTTAACATCTCCATGCTTTGCTTTCTTGTCATATAAGCAGGGATACCTATTTCTGGGACACTCTGCAAATTATAGAAGTACATACATACAAGTGCTAATACATTAACAGCTCAACAAATATGAGCTACTGACTAGTGATATAGCTCAGCAGTGCAACATCTGCCTTGCAAGTGCAAGGTCCTGAGTTTGATTCTCAGTACCCACCTGAAAAAACAAATATGAGTTATTAATTCTTTTTTTCATGACTTCTTTCACTTTATTTTGCAACAGAAATACACTATTTTTGATACACTAAATTTTAATGTCAGTTTGTAATAAAAACACAAATACTGTTCTAAAGATCCTAAGTGGACAATAAATATCAATGCCACAAACAAGACATTAAAAAATTACATCCTCCACTTATACATAAGAATACTATAATTAAATATTGGTGTTTTGGAATTTTTGTTTTTGGTGGGGTTTTTGGTAAAGTCTCTGCTTACCTATATCTCTTCCCATTGCTCTGGCCAATTCCTTAGCAGTCATTCCAAACCATACTTCTACCTCTTTTTTAGATTTTGTTGGAGACACCTGAGATTTCCATGGTCTTTTTTCCTATTAAACACACAAACAAAAAGAAGAGAAAATTTTAGGGCCAACTTATTCTGGAATACCCATTACAATTATGGACATTATTTCTACCAACTCTCCTAAGCAGTTCAACTTTAAACTAAAATTAAAATTCCTGCATCCTTCACTGTTTTATACTTATATCCAAGAAATCAAACTTACCAACATTATTACTAAAAGGCTAACCAGAATTTCCTCTCCTCACAAAGATCTATTGCTTGGAGTATAACATTAAGTAATAAAGATTCCATAAAAAACAAAATATGCAAAATGGATTTCTACTTATGATTCTAAATACTTTCATATCAGATCAAATAATACCGTGACAGAAATTTAGAACTACCTTCTTTGTTACTAGAAGCCTGTATTGAGATAAAGCAGCACGAAGGAACACATCTGTCTGCCAGGGCCAGGTATACGGCTGAGCAGCCCACGCTGGGGAAGCAGATGAAAACCCATGCTTCCACTGTGCTAATATTCTTTTCTGGTCCAGGCTGTGCAATTGCCTATAAATTACACGAAATCGTAGCAAGTTCTCCAACTTCTGCAGCTTCTGGTTCATGTTTCTTCTAGTTGAAAAAAAAAAGATTTAATAATAGTTTGGATAATAAGATAATAAGTACTATTATTATTCATGGTACAATTATGATAGGCTAAAATACAACAAAAAAGGGAGCTGGGGATATAGCTCAGCAGCACAGTGCCTGCCTGGCAAGTGTGAGATAGTGGGTTCAATTCCTGGTACCAAAAACACAAATAAATAAAAATAATAAAAAAATTTTTTAAAACTTTATAAATGGCTCTCTTTTTCCTCAAAATACCACCTAACTAAATCACAACTAGAGTGTGCTTTCCAAAATACAAATTTGTGGGAGTCTTTTTGAGACAAGGTCTCACTATGCAGCTCAGGCTGACCTTGAGCTCACTTTGTAGCCCACGCTGGTCTCGAACTTGCAACGATCCTCCTGCTTCAGCCTCCTGAGTGCTGGGATTACAGACATGCACCGCCATGCTCAGCTCCAAAATACAAATTTGGCTGGGCAGATAGCTCAGTGGCACAGTGCCTGCCTGGCAAGCACAAAGTCCTGAGTTTGATTCCCGGTACAAAAAAAATACAAATTTGAACTTATCTCCTCTCTGCTAAACACCCTCCAGTGGGTCCCCATCACCCCAATTTAACATATAATTTCATAACATGCTATAAAAGGACTCATTATCTGGCCTCCACTAACTTCTCACTTCACCTCTTATATTCTTTTTTTGTTTTTTTTGAGACAGGGTTTTGCTGTATAGTTTAGGTTGCCACTAAACTAACTATATAGGGGGCTGAGGGTCTAGCTCAGCAGCACAGCGCCTGCCTGGCAAGTGCAAGGTCATGAGTTCAATTCCTGGTACCAGAAAAACCCCCCCCAAAAAAGCAAAACCAAAACAATAAACTAACTATATAGCCCAAGGCTGTTCTTGAACTTGCAGTAATGCTCCTGCCTCAGCCTCCCTAGTCCTGGGTTTACAGGCACGCACCACCACACCCAGCTTGTTATATTCTTCTAGTCTCTCCACAACTACCTCACAAGCTTTTGTTATCTTGACTCACCTATCATCTCCAATCATTTGTCATCTCACTTCTGAATCTTCATGTAGCCTTCCTTTAGCTAGAACTGCCTTTTACCTCCTAACACTTTTCCCTATATCTACCTCATTCCCCCCAAAAAAGGTGCTTTATAATGAGTGAGAACGAACAGGTAATGGCTGATGCCTTTTGAATATTATTCTTGAATAAGAGTTTATTGAAAAAACAACAGAATTCATTAGTAATACAGTTCTTTTCCTCCCACAGTCCTCTACTTACTCTCCAGACTGCATTTACACAGCTTTGCCTTTCCTGTTTTCTCCTTAGAAAGTATTTCCTAAGTAACATATGCCAGCATTACACTACATGCTGCTGATGCAGAGTTTAATAAGCCAAAGTCCTTTCTACAAGGAGTTCACTGTCTTTAAAGTTTTCCAATACAAAGATTCTCAATCACACCAGGCACAGTGACTGATTAAAACCAAGGGCAGTTTTCATTGCACTAGTATGTGCCCAATTATTTCTGTAAATTGTAGTCATTTCAACATTTTATTTATAAAGGAGATTAAGTGTCTAAGTAGTATATATAGGCTATTAGACTATTCAAAATAGACTTTCTTTTACTCACTAGTGAGAAATAACCAATGCTGGGAGTGTAGCTTAGCACAAGGCCCTGGATTAAATAAGAAAGGAAGGCAGGTGGTGGGCACCTCATTTAACTATTTACTGTGTTATTTTTTCAAACCTTTTCTCTGTGCTAATAACTATTATCACAAAAATGAAATGGTATGATGTTTTATAACTTTTTCCATTAAAGACTATATTGTTGGGAGCAGCTGGAGCCGGATATTGGTCATATGTGTGAGGGCAGGACAGAGCCAGAGTGCCTCAAGCAGTCAAGCTACCTCAGTCTTGAGAAAAGCATCCTGCCTGGACAATCCAGTCATTAGTCACTAGACAACACTGCCTCTCATGACACTAACTTTGCAAGAGTGCAAATAAACCCCCTACTGTTATTGTTCAGTCCTCTTGCCCATGAGGTAAGAGGCCTCCACCAGACCCCAGCTTTTGTCTCCTCTTTGTTTTCTAAATCCCCCAGCCATTTCTTCCTGGGGACCACCGAGTCACTACAATATATTGTGATTATTGCTTTATATAATTAAACATTAAATATTACAAAAAACAAAAATTATGAAATATTTCAATGTGGTTACTTTACATAAAGCTACCTTACAATTCTAAACTTTTACACTGTCTTAAAATTTAACTGTTTCTTTCATAGCATTTCTTTTTTTTCTTTCATGGCATTTCTACATTCTGCTTATATTTTAGATTTACACAAATGTATTTACATATATCACAAATAGTATTTATATATTTACATTTTCTGCCATAAGTTCTTTAAAACTATTCAGAAATAATCATAGTTATAAGATACGAACCACAGGGCTGGGGATTTAGCTCAGCGGCACAGTGCCTGCCTGGCAAGCACAAGGTCATGAGTTCAATTCCCAGTACAGGAGAAAAACCAAAAAAAAAAAGATATGACCAAAGAAACTGAGGTTCTGGTCAAGTGAGCTTTGCTATATAACTGGACATTAAATTAAAAATTAGATGTTCAGCCAGACTGGTGGCACGAACCTGTAATCCCAGCACTCAGGAGGCTGAGGCAGGAGGATCATTGTGAGTTTGAGGCCAGCCTGGGCTACAAAGTGAGCTCAAGGCCTGCCTGAACTGCATAGTGAGACCCTGTCTCAAAAAGACACACACAAAAAAAATACTGGTTATATTTCAACCAGTCTTCTTAAAATGTATTTCATGGTCCTGACACAATTAATATATTGAATAACTTCTTTAAAAAAGAAAAGAAATAACTGGAAAGGGCACAGCATCACAGAGAAAGTACCTGACTTGGCAACAAAAGAACCTGGGGTGAACACCTGCAGCTGTGAGATACACCATCAGTGTTATTATCTTGATTGACTGAGCAAGTCACTTTTTTTCTAAGGGCCTCATTTTCCCGATCGCTGTAAAAAGAAATTAAAGAGTGTTTAATGCCTGTCCTTCCTTCTGTAAGGCTATACAAAGAAAATAAAATGAAGCCAGGCATGGTGGTGCACGCCTGTAATCCTAGCACTTGGGAGGCTGAGGCAGGAGGATCCTTGCAAGTTCAAGACCAGCCTCAGCTACAAAGTGAGCTCAAGGCCTGAACTGCACAGCGAGAGCCTGTCTCAAAGAGACAAAAAATAAAATAAAATAAAATAACATATGTACTTAATTACCAGCTATTTTAAATTGTATCATGTGTTTTGTTGTTGTTGTTTTGTTTTTGTCTTTTTGAGATAGGGTCTCGCTCTGCAGTTCAGGCTGGCCTTGAGCTCACTTTGTAGCCCAAGCTGACCTCGAACTCACAACGATCCTCCTGCCTCAGCCTCCCGAGTGCTGAGATTACAGGCGTGCACCATCACGCCCGGCTATATGTGCTTTTTATTGATGGTTTATATGCTTTGAAGATTCATTGCTTATAAGTTAGAAATATTCACAAGTCACTACCTTGTTTATAGACAATTGCGAAATTTTGTATGTGTATTTAACAAGGCACTAACCTTAAAAGATATACTCAAGACCAAAGAATTTGATTTAATAGAAAAAACAAAAAACCCTGCATTAAACAGTTGAAGAACTGCACAAGTCAAAAGCCTTATATAGGTCGGTGCCCCATATTTAGAAGATTAAAAAAAAGGTCGGGGAGCACAAGACTCCTTAGGAAATCTCTAAACGACCTGAAATCGGATTTGTCAAAGGCAAGGATTAATGGGGGGTGGGGGGAGTCACAGGAGACGAATCAAAGCACGCATACACCAGGCAGGACTTTAAAAGACACTCGGGGCGACAGCGTCCCGGCAACACTGGAGAGACCCTTTGCTGTGACGCGCTCCGAGGCCCTCGCTTTACACAGAAGCGAACTAAGCACCCAGAAGGCCAGAAACACTTCGCCACCTGCATACCGCTAGTCAGGCTCGTCGGGACTCGAACCCAGGCTCCCCAGCTCCCAGGGCGGCGCTGTTCCGCCGCAAGGACACTTCTTGCCAAGCAGTCTGGAAGAAAGAAAGGAAAGAGCAGGGCGCGGGGAATGCGCGGCGCGCCCGGGCGCAGCGGGGTGGAAGCCACGGCCGTGTGCGAAGAGCGGTCAGGGCGGGGCGCGCGCCTGCGGCGGGCGGGGACGGCCGGACACCGACTCCGCGCGGCGGGGCTCCCGCACGGGCTTCCGGGTGCACGGCTAGGAGCGCGAGACTCGTACCGGGGCGCTTCTGGCCGAATAATACGCGCCGCGCGCGACCCTGGCGAGCAGCCCTTCTTTCTCGGCTCCTGCTGAGACCCCAGCGCCTCTTTTCTGACCGCGGCGGATCAACTTCTGGATCCGGAACTGTCCCTCCTTCGGAACGGTCCTCTCGAAGGTCCGGTCACGAACGGTCTCCTTGAGGGCTTCCGGCCCCGGAAGCGGTTCCTCCTCGGACTGAATAGTTGTCGCCTCCAGGGGCGCTGTTGTACCGGAAGTGTGGCGGTAGTGCAGGTTGCGACTTCCTCCTTCGTTCATTCCTCCTGCAGGTCCTACCCCGCACACTTCCTTTGTGCAGCCCTGGGCATCGGACGCAGAGTCTCGCGCGCCAGGCCAGCGCCCTGCCCCTGGGCTACATCTCCAGGCCTGTCTCTTTATTTCTACAGGAAGTAAATTTTTGCTGCTGCTTTTTTTTTTTTTTTTTTTTTTTTTTTGAGAGAGGGTCTCTGTGCAGTTCAGCCGGCGATGAGCTCACTTTGGAGCCCAGGCTGGCCTCGAACTCTCAACGAGCATCCTGCGTCAGCAAT